AGGGGGGGGGGGGGGGGGGGGGGGCTGCTGCAGGCACCCCCCTGGCACCCCCAGCTCACCCGAAAGCCAGCGGAGGAAGGCGTCCGTCTTGAGCAGGGTCCGGTTGCCCAGCGAGCGGGAGATGATGGGTTCATTGCCTTGGAAGTTGTTCATGGTGCCGGCATAGAGCTCGCCGTCTGCTTGGGGACGGGGTGGGGGTGAGCTATGGCACGGACACCACCCCCCCAAACCATCACCCTCCGCTCCATCCCAGGGGTGGGTGCCCACCCGCTGGCCCCGTACTCACCCACCAGCAGGGCTGTGTAGGTGTGCTGGGGGTCAAAGGGGCACTGGCCCTTCCCGTCCAGGAAAGGTTGTCCCCTGCTGCTGGAGACCAACGTGAAGTTCTCCAGGTGCTGCGGGCAAGGGGAGGAAAATGAGCTGAGGGAGTTAAACCAGACCCCAAATCTGCAAGAAATGGCTGTGGGTGCTCTCTGGCCTGTGGGGAAGTGGCGGTGCTCCCCCCCGTGCTCGGCAAGTGGGGAAACTGAGGCAGGACAGGCTGCCTGGGGTCACCTGAGACCCAAAATCAGGGGGTTTACTACCTGCATCTGACCTGGAGAGACACCAGGGGCTCCTTTAGTGCATGAAACACAGAGGTACACCCCGGTGGCGGGGGGCACCCAGCACCCCACATCCCAGGGGACTTCCCGTCATGCAATTTGCTCAAATCGCCCATCCTGCTGTGGCTCCTCAGCCGGAATTTGGTGGCCGCTCACGGCGATGCCACAACACGTCCGGAGAGCCCTCCTTGTCCCTGTCCTTGGCGGTGGCGGGGGGGGACGACACGACACTCACGATGTAGGTGCACGCGGGGCTGAAGGCGTAGGTCCCGCAGACCTGATTGTCTCCCTTCCGCTGGGTTCTCCCTCAAAAGGAATAAGCAGAGCCAAGGGGAAGGTTTTGTTGGGCTCTTTGGGACATGGAGCTCTTCAGGCCAAATTCTGATCTGAATTATGCTTTATTATTCCACAGAAACTTCTTAACTTTGGTAGAGCTGTGCCAGGTGGTAGCCATTGTTGATGCGAATGGTAGTTTAAAAAAAAAAAAATCTTTGAAAAATTGCAATATTGCCATGTGTATTTCTGTCCAAACTTGGGAGCGGGGGGATGGAGAAGAACCTTGGTATGCTGAATTTTTTGTTTTGTGGGGATGGAAAGTTCAGAACATATTGCCTGGCACTATCAAGCTATTATGTGTCAGTTTGGTTTAGCATCAGAACATGACAGCCAATGCAGTTCATGAAGATGTGTGTGGGAACCGGAAATTTTTTAACTGGGATTGACCCCAATCTAAAATGAAATATTTGGTTATGGCTTTTTAAAGAAAATACAATAAAACAATTGACTTTTTTTTCCTTTGGAAAAAATAATTCTCAAACATTTGGTAGAAAACCCTCTACAGAACAGATTTATGGCCTGAAGTCTTGTTTGCAGTGAAACTGGTGGGAATTTTGTTGTTAACTTTCATGTAGCCAGAATTTCACTGAGGTTTCCCTTGCAGCAGGAGGGATTGTGTAGCTCTTTATCTGGAGGTATGAATAGAACTTCAAAGCCTCTTGGCCCACTTTAGAAATAAAAAGTATTCTGATATATTTCATTGACTTGTTGGAGGTCTTGCTCCATTGAAAGTAGCATGGTTTTTGTCTCTATCCCAGAGAGCCACAAGGAGCATAATCTGTATTTGTTAAAATGGAGACCAGTAACATGTTCTTCTAACACACCAGTAGTAGATGAAAGGGCAAATGTCTGGGTTAGTGCTCTATTTCGCTGGGCTGTCTTCAGATCATTGCTTTCAAATATTTGTTCTGTGAAGGGGAATCGTCGCACGTTCCAGATGTAGGTGTTTACCGTGGGATCGTACTTGTGTTTTAACGTAGTGCTGTGCATCACACTGTTTCTGTTTGCCTGGTCCCAGCGCATGAGATGATTCACCTGCTGCAGAGTTTTCCTGTCTGTGCAGCAGATTTTATTAAGCCCCAGAGAGGGCTATTTGGAAGCTGGTTTTCCATCCCAAATTGAAGTCCTAGTGTTAACAATCTTTTATGAGCAAGGAACAGGTCATTCCATTGCTGGTGACTGGAGTCCTTTGTTACCTCTTCCTTACCTGGGACGAGGTGTCAACAACAGCAGGAGAGGGAAGAGAAAGGACTGGAAGAATCAGAGGAGGGGAGAAATAAATGTTTCTAAGGGAAAAGGAGTATTCAGTGAGCAATTTTCATGAGATACACACATTTGGAAATTTGCTAAAATGTGTTTGCAATGTTTTTTATAAGCAACATTAAATGAAAGTACAGTTAGTTCTGGACTTAACCTCCCCATTTGTTCTTGGATTTAGGTCTATCTCAGAGCAATTTTCCAGTTTTTTACTTCAAGCCCATTTCTACCGGCTTTACTGGCAGGTTCCACTCCACTGAGGACAGTACTGGTAGACACAAAAAGAGCAGGACCTTCCGTGGAAGAAGTAATTCCTAGGAGGGGCCCAAGGGCAGAGTTTCAAAAGCACCGTGTTCCCAAAGAAGGGCTGAGTTTTTCAGAAGGACTGAACAACAAGCACTCCCACTGTGACAGATGGCTGAGTATTTCAAAAGATTTTCCCATTAAAGCTGGCTGGAAATTGCCTATTCTCTTGTTTTTGACAGGAACTTGAGTTTTCTGTTAAAAATAATAATAGTGCAGAATGGGCAGATTTCCTTTCAGCATTCTATTTTTATGTGAGAATTTTAATTGTTTTGGTCAGGGAAACTCTCACTCCCATAATACATTCATTTACAACTCACTGTGCTGGAGAGCTCCATCAGTGGCCAGAGGGTCCACAAAATTTGGGGGGGGGACGGGACACACACACCCCCACACACTCTTGCAGCTCTTTTTGGCAGCTCCTGCTGGGAGCAATGGGGAAAGAGCAATGTCTCGAGAGCCATGTGGTCCCTGGGACCCCTTGCGGGTGGCCACCGTGTCCCCAGCAAGTGGCA